TTTTTTAATTGCAATCAAATCTCATGTGCTGTCTACCACTAAACGAAGTTTCCTTCCAAGCCCATCTCATCTTCTGTCCTGGGCAAAGAACAGATTCATTGACTCCTCTTACATGATAGGCAAAATGAAATGGCATGTCAGATCAGATCGAAAAACCCTGTCTTCTTGTCTCAGTGCAATTTTAATGTACATGGAATGTTTATGTCTTTTTAATTTTTATGCATATTTAGTGCCAAGGCCTGCTGAAGGAGGAACCAATGCTTATGTCCCCTCTGTATTTATTCCAGTCTCCAAAATGTGAGTCACTGTGCATTTCCCGAATTACACTCACGGCTTTGTTTCAACACCTCAAAATGTAAGGCCAAACTCACTTAGCTGGAATCAACAGCTTATAATGTAAAGCTATTTGAATGTTAAGGACCGAGTCCCACCCTGGGGTGTATGAAGGAAGAAGGAAGAAGTTCAAAGGCCTCTCTCTCTCTTTCTCCCTGACCTTTGCTGAATTGCAGTTCACCCTGGCCTTCCAAGATTGGGGAATGGATTTTTAGGCCAGGGGGTATAGCTTTAGGCAGATGCTGTACAGGCCTTGTCCAGTTTTACTTATCTCATTCTTAGAAACATGCAGAGAGAGGAGTGCTTCCCCCTACCCTCTTCACTCGCTTTCTGCACATGGGGAGCAATGTGCCTGAGGAAGAGAAGATTACTGCTTGTGTGTAGTCTCTACACACGGACAAGAATCCTGGAAAACCAGTGTTCTTGATGGTATGGAGAGCCTGGATGTCAGCAGGAACCTCTTGTTTTCAGACACGTTGCTCCTGGTGTTTAGAAAATGGTGACAGAAAAGGGAGCAGTTTAGGCACTCCTCTTGAAACGTGTTACCAAGAATCAGGTAAGCAAAATTCAATCCAGCTTTTATTGTCTGGGGAATCTACAAACAATTAGAGTTAGGGCTGTGTTCCGTTTCTAGGTTAACGTGTAATCTGACCTGTTATAAGCACATATGCAGAACACTGTTCTGTCCATGTACAAGACGTTCAAGGCTGTAATATTACATAGTTATTTCAGGGTCACATTGAACTCGCTAGGAATTACTTCTGAGTGGGGTTGTGCTGGAACCTTGATCTCACTGAGCAAAAAGGGTGGTAGTGCAGTGGACCCTCAACTTAAGGAATTAATCCGTATTGGAACGGTGGCCACAGGTCGAAAAGTCCGTAGGTTGAGGGTCCATTTTCCCATAGGAATGCATTGAAAACCATTTAATCCGTTCCAGCCAAAGAAAAAAAATCCCGGGCTTCGAAAGCTGCACCTGCTCCCCTCTGTCTCCAGTACTGTCCCCGTGGGGATGGGAGGCAGAGGGCAGTGGGGACGGGAGGCAGAGGGCAGCGGGGGCAGCTTTGAATTTCCCGCCCTTCCCCTGCCTTTCGTAGGTCGAAGCTCTGGCCGCAAGTCGAACCAAAATTTTGTGGCTGGAGCTTTTCGTACCTTGAAATTTTCGTAGGGACCTTCATAAGTCGAGGGTCCACTGTATGAACTTGGGAAGACAGTACTTCAGTCAGCACAGCAGTTCCTGAGTGCCTTTCTGCTAAACGATATACTGAATAACAGAGTTTTCTGTCATGAAGGACCTTAATTTTTTGTTTGTTTTTCCTTCAGTCTGAATGACTCCACAGATCCGTCTTCTCCAGCAGAACTTCTCCCCATGTCTCCAAGTGTCTATGCTGTCTTGAGAGAACATTTAAGTCCTACTGTCATGGAAACTGCCGTATGTTACAAGTTACTTTTAACCTTCTGAAGTAGCACCAAGCAAATGAGGGATAGATATGGAAGGGGTAACTAGATGGGTACTAGATGCCAGTCATTTTTTGCAACCCCAAAGCCGTTTCTATCCCTGTGAATGAAACTGTGCAAACGGTGTTAGCAGCTCCCATTAGCTCAACTCAATTGCCACATTGGGGCTTCTTATTGTAACAAATCTCCATTTCCAATAGATATGGACCCCTTTAATATTCTTGTTCTGCATCCTGGGTCAGGCTTTCTAACACTTAGTGCAGAAAGTTTCATTAGTCTTTTAAAGGACTCTGGAGATCCTGTTGTTTTCAGCTTTCAGAGTTTAGAACTTTTAAAGCAAAAGCAAAGCAAAGTGTGCTGCTTATATGCCTTCCCATAGTGCTTCAAGCACTCTCTGGACGGTTTACAAGTTAATTATGCAGGCTACACACTGCCCCCCCCCAGGCAAGCTGGGTACTCATTTTACCGACCTTGGAAGGATAGAAGGTTAAGTCAACCTTGAGCCGCTACCTGGGATTGAACCCCAGGTCGTGAGCACAGTTTTGGCTGCAATACAGCGGTTTAACCACTGCACCACGATTAGAAATTGTGTATTGGGCAAATAGTAAGCATTTCTCCCTAGCCCTGGTTCATCCTGCTTTTGAGAGGAATGAGCAGTGGTGAATTCCTGAGAGCTGATGCATTGTTCTTTCCTTCTAGATGAATTCTCCATATTCGGCTGACTGACACTCGGATAGAGAAGATAATAAATACATCCTGTAAATACATTTTTAAAAAGGACTTACCTGGCAGTTTGTTTGTTTTTTAGTGCCCTTTGGAATAAATGTTTCATGAAGACGCAAACACTTCTTAAGCTTAACTCTGTTTTCATAGAGTGCATGACTTAAAATGTGCCTCAGTTCAGACATAATGCTAAACTAGAACTTAGCATTACAAGAACGAGCTACTACACGTTTTGGGTGTCTGGACTCCTGCTTTTTCATGTTATGGATTGGCCCTGCTTTATTTGAAATAAGCATACTTAGTGTAACAGGGAACTCGTTTCTTTAGGTCTCTGGCTGCAGAGCCAGAGGTTGAGAGTTTGAATCCCCCACTGGGCCTCCTTGACAAGGGCTGGACTCATTGATCCATAGGGGTCCCTTCCAGACTTGCAGTTCTAAGACCATTATGTATTACATATGTATTTGGTTTCCTTGTCCAACAGTTAAAGGGAAGGGGAGGGAAGAAAACAAGCCTAAGGTCTGATGAAAGCATAAAGCACCAGTTCTTGTAACACAGAGCTGTGCCCAGGCTGAATTTGGTTTAGGAGCAAGATCTTTGCCTATGGAAGCACTGATCATGAGAAATCAAGAGAATAATGTCCTACAAACAAGCTAGGCACAAATTAGCTGCAGCTAACATTCTGAATCTAATCTTTGCTCTAATTTGCTTTATACAGACATCATTTAGTAACGGCAGAACCAGGTTTGCCAAAATCCTTTTTTACTTTGCAAAACATAAAAGTTAACACTTCATTAATTCATAAGGAATTTTGCTCAGGCAGTCTACATGTTGGACTGGGTAACTAATTGTGGAGTTGATTGCACAACTAGTTTTGTAACAGTACCTGCAGAAGTGCTTGCTGTACATGACTTCTGCTGTGGTGCAAATGTCACAGTGGTGTGTACAGCTTTGAGTTACACAGGGATAGCTATGTAACAGGATTTTGGCTGCTACGGACAATCCATGGTTAGATCTGCAAGTAAATAACTATTGGAGAGACATGGTTCAGGCAGATTTTTGTATTTGAAAAATCAGAATTCAAAGGAATCCAGTGTGCTAAGTCTCAAAGAACGATCATGAAACAATGTAAACTAATTTTTCAAATTAACTGGGGCAAGAAAAGGTCTTGCTGTGCACTCAGACACTTTTAGCATTTAAGGAATTCCCCTCTCCTAATGGTGGATTATAACATTGCATCTGCCCTCAGTGATGGTAGAACTTCCTCTGTGCTTTGCAAACTTCCCTTTTTTCAAAAGCTCTTGTCAATTCTGAATTGTTATAAAAACTTTGACAGGTATTCCTGTGTACATTGAGACACAGTACAACAGCAATACATAGAGATAGTACAGTGGTGCCTCGCATAGCAACGATAATCGGTGCAGCAAAAATCGCTGCAAAATCGCTGATTTTGTTGCTATGCAATTTTAAAAAGCCCATAGGAATGCATTGAAACCCCTTCAATGCGTTCCTATGGGCTTAAAACTCGCCTTAAAGCGAAAGTCCTCCATACGGCGGCCATTTTCGCTGCCCGGTAAGCGAGGAAACCGCGCGAAAACACAGCGGGTGGCCATTTTTTTTACCCGGCGGCCATTTTGGAACCCCCGATCAGCTGTTAAAAAAATCATCGCTTTGCGATGATCGCTAAGCGAAACAGGGTACAGATCATCGCAAAGCGATTTTTCCCCATTTAAAACATTGCAATGCGATCACAAAAAAATCGTCGGTGTGCGATTTCATCATTAAACGAGGCGCCTCTTAAGCAAGGCACCACTGTATATCTCTACAGCAATACATAGTATATCTCAACAGAGATAGTATATCTCAACAGCAATGCATAGAGATAGTATTATATATAGTATAACAGAAGACTTTAAAGATTAAAATTTGTGGTTGATAAGGTCATCGGCCACAGCTCCACCAACAGGATTCTGGCCCAAATCTCCTAAATTTCATATTCATAAAATAGTTAGTAAAACTGTTCACGTGTCTATTGAGCTGTATCCCAACTGTACTTCAATGGAAATAATAGTAAGACCACTCACTGATACATAGCTGTATAATATGTATTCCGTTGCACAATTTGCTCTGGCAGCTAAGAA